AACGAGGATAAAGTAAAAGAAAATTTACTGAAAGAAGAAACAAACTGTTCTAAATGCTTAATTTATGGAGAAGAGGATAAAAGAAATGAGTATTTCGGACTGTTAGTGGCTCAAGAATTTAAATATATACGGCCATGTGTGCGAACGAGGTGTTATGAAGAAATTTTAAAGTATCTACGGGAAGCAAAAGGCCAACATGTTGATCAACTGCAACATGAAAACACTGAAAATTAATTACTTTCATTTTATTATATATAGATTTTTAAAATTTCCTGAAATATTATTAGTTAACGTTTTATTTAATATTGTAGAATTGATCAATACAATTTATAAAAATAATTTATTGGTATTACTTACATATTTTCAAAAAAATACGTAAAAACCTATTTTTTTGGGTGATTATGGGAGTTTATGGGTGTTTATTGGGTTTTTACCAAAGCACCGGGTTTAAACCCGGTGCTTTGCCCATCTGTAGGTGGATCGTAAAATTTCAGATACATTGCGCAGCGTTGAAACTAAGAATCGTTGATTGTATGGCTGTGGTTAGAGATGGGCAATCCACCTGGGTGGGTTTAAAGTCTGGTGGGTAAAAACCGGGTGTTTTGGGTTTATTGGGTTTAAACCCCATAAACACCCAAATTTTTGGGTGTTTATGATTTTGTACTTCATCATCGTCATCTCAGCCGCAAGACGTCCACTATACTGGACATAGACAATATTATTATGCAGCCTACAGAATAAAAAACTTTTAATTTGATTTTGAGTTTATTAAGAAAGAGATGAAAGTAAAATGTAAAACTACAGTCAATCACTGTCAGATTCAGAGTTATTACAAGCGATGAATTGTATAGGTTCGATAGGCTCTATTTCGTCTAAACTGTTATGTTCATTTACTTGCTCAATGAAAGCTTCTAAGGTATTTTCTTCATTAAACTGAATGTCCTCGCATTCAGCTTTATGTTTAAGATTCCAGTTATAACAAATGAATGAAATTTTTTCAGTTCTTTCAGTTGTAAGTCGATTTCTTTTGTTATTATGTATGTAGCCTTGGATACTAAAGGAACGCTCAGTGGCTGCCGAAGTACAGGGAGCTGATAGAATACGAATCGCTACTTTGCTTAACTCAGTGGAACCACAAATACCTTTCCACCATATTAGGGGCTCAATGCTATCTAATGAGCTCCATACAAATCCTCTGGCCCAAAAGTTTTCTTTAGCTTTATAACACGCCAAATCTGCCATTACATTTGACAAACTTAAGTGTTGGCTTAAATTGTAGATAAACTCCATACCCTTAAGTTCTTCCTCTTGAGTAAGTTCGACTCCTAGAGTCCTGGGGTCTAGAATATATGCTGCAAAATGTATTGGCCTCATTGCCATATTGCATCTTGAAGATACTGATGTTAGAATCTGCTGTTTGCTTTCTTCGCTCAATGTCGAAATCTCATTTAATGCAAAACGTATCTTAGCTTGTACATCTCTAAATGTAATGTATGTGCGATGCAAACGATTCTGGTCGCTCTCTAAGTAAAATATGCTTTCAGTGACTGGTTCCAAAATACTTATACATTCCCCTGTCTTCGTCCAGAAATCATCACTTAGAATTAAATCTTTAATATCTCTTGAAATTACCACATCTTCTCTAACTGTTAATATTTGCAAAGCTATCTTATTTGCTTTCAAACTTTTTAACGAAGTAACATGACTTCCCCATCTTGTAGCACAAGGCAATTTTAGTGTTTGTGTAGAATCTTCACCCTGCCTTGATTTTATCAACAAGGAACTTAATCGTTGACTCCTTTTAACAGTTTTTATTATATTTATGGCTTGCATAATAAACACAGTTACTTCTTGTATCTTTACAATATCTTGGCACAACAAGTTAAGGATATGTGCACAGCAACCGAGAGGAACAACATGTGGATATTTGAGTTTTGTTAATTCGAATGCCTTTTGTATATTTCTAGCGTTATCGCCAATAAGTACAAGAAACTTATTTGCTCCATACACTTTCATTACTTTTTCAACTTCTTGGCTAAGGTATTCACTAGTGTGAGGATTACTTTCTGTATTCAAACTTTTAACGTATGCAGGTTGAGGTTTTGATATAAGAAAGTTTATTATTCCTTCATTTCTTAAATTAGACCAGCCATCGCACTGAAGGTGTAAGTAACTACAAGCATTTAGTTCCTCATTTAACTCAAAACGCATTTCTCTATATATTTTATCTAAGTATTTTGTCGCTAAAGCTTTACGTGAAGGTATTTTAAATTTTGGTTGCAATTTTTCGAAAAATTGTATCCATAAAGGATGTTGCACCATCGATAATGGCGTCCCTGTTACAAATATAGCTCTCGCTAATTCTGTTTTTATATGATCATCGGTGTCTTGAAACTCAGCATTTATTGTAGTGTTAGCAGACGACGAGGGGCTTATAAAAGAATCATTTGTCTCTATCTCTGACAGTCCAGACATTTTGGTTTTGGACGAGCTATCTTTTATAAGTTTCATAGAGTCTTTTAATGTTTCTGGAGATTTTGGACAAGTGATAAGATGTTGAAGCATTTTGGCAGCATTACTGAATTTGTAGACCTTATTACAAAGCTTGCAAGAAACAGACTTGTTTGGTAAAGTACGGTAGTGCTCCCATATGCGTAAATCTTTAGGTCTCCCCATTGAACCTAAAAAAATGAACGATGATTAGTTGGTCTGACGAAAATTCAACAATAGAGTGCCTATTTTTTTACAATGATTATTTCTTGTTATTTACAATAAATTTATTAAAAAAATAATAAAATAAATACAAAAAACCTTTGTAAAATTACATCTCCTCGGAGGATTAAACGCAGACGCTAGTTTATTATCGTATTGTTCTGTATTTTTCTCAGCAACTTCTTTAATTCGATTAGGTACTTACGCATATTATGTTAAAAATAAATATCTAGTACACATCTTAGGCTATCCACCATTATTATCCAATGACGACTCTCAGCTAACTATGCACTATCATCCAAAATAAACGTGTATGGAAAATTTTATCCCAGTCGGTTGAGGATTGAGGATAATTGCATCAACATACGAACATACCTACATACTTTTATTTACATAACGCAAGCTAAATAAAAGCTTGTAATAATACATCTAATTTTAAGTTAAAATTGTTAAGTGATCATGATATAATTGTATCATTCAAAAATCCACTTACCTTTAATTATTTCTTGTTAAGTATAAATATTATTTCAAATCTGCTCCCTTAATATGCACTTTTTTACTGCTTTTCCTACCTAACACGTTACCAGGAAGTCACGTTACCAGAGTCAGAGTAATAGTGAACACGTTTGACAGTGATTGTCGTCGCCTCATATTCAGCGTCGACGAATAGGGGAATCCCCAGTCATAATGTATTGCATGCGTGGCGGTCTTACTTCAAATCCATAAACAAAGAGATAATTACAGAACTCGATACTAGATGGCGCTGTTTTTGTTTGAAGAAAGTTTGCGGGCTAAAATACATAGAATTTCATCAATGACTTCCACAAAGAACAACATTTCTGTTTTTTCTAAGTCCGTATCTCTTCCGTATATTTCATAAGATATAAGCTTGGGCTACATTTTTATGCAACGTGATTTTGTCGCTGTCTTGCTAGCAGGGTTGACAGATATACGATTTAAATCGTACTCATACTATTATTTGTCTATTTTTTAATGTACGATCGTAAAGATTATGATCGTAATTCGCACAAAAACATACGACTTTTTGGTTACCTGGCAACATTTTTATTATGAAACGAACATGCTCACATCATCAGTCACATGCAACAATTTATTGGGGATTTCCCCTTCACATCTGGCAGTCCTGCTTGCTAGAATATAGGTAAGTCAGCCACAGTTACTGACGATCGATATTTAAAGGGTATTGTTTTTGTGCTAAATATTTCATAAAAACGTTATTTAATACTTTGTGGATTATTAATTTAGTTGATAATCACTGGAAGTAAAATGGATGCTAATTTGAGAGATCAAGATCTTCGTATAAAACAGTTAATAAAAGAAAATCTACGTAAGTACTCTTTTTATACCTAGGTAGGTAAGGTATAATAAACACAAAAGGTACTTAGATCGCGTGTGTTCGAAGCATTTATTCTAATAAATTTAATTTAAAATTGTAGAAAGAAAAAAATGTCTGCCAAGCCGTAGCCGAAGCCGATCTCCAAATATATTTGGCGATAGTGAGACCCAGTGTCCAGATGATTTACCCAGCGTCGTCGCAACACAGAAAAAAACGAGGATAAAGTAAAAGAAAATTTACTGAAAGAAGAAACAAACTGTTCTAAATGCTTAATTTATGGAGAAGAGGATAAAAGAAATGAGTATTTCGGACTGTTAGTGGCTCAAGAATTTAAATATATACGGCCATGTGTGCGAACGAGGTGTTATGAAGAAATTTTAAAGTATCTACGGGAAGCAAAAGGCCAACATGTTGATCAACTGCAACATGAAAACACTGAAAATTAATTACTTTCATTTTATTATATATAGATTTTTAAAATTTCCTGAAATATTATTAGTTAACGTTTTATTTAATATTGTAGAATTGATCAATACAATTTATAAAAATAATTTATTGGTATTACTTACATATTTTCAAAAAAATACGTAAAAACCTATTTTTTTGGGTGATTATGGGAGTTTATGGGTGTTTATTGGGTTTTTACCAAAGCACCGGGTTTAAACCCGGTGCTTTGCCCATCTGTAATCCTTGACCTTTGCTTCTTTAGTAAAAATGTTCAGTTTCTCTAACACAATGACGTTGACGATTCCGATTTCACCCATAAGATAAGAGCATTCTGTAATATAAATTCGTATAATATAAAATTTCCCTGATGTTATTTGTTTTGTACTTTAAATTCCACTTGTACTGTACAGTAGCAATAGCAGCTATGCAGCAATCTTGCACTATGTCTTTCGTCATCGTAAACATTGTAACACGATATACTTACCCCCTGGCAATGCTCCAACAGGGCCATCGACTTCATCTGTATGTGCCTGAGCTCCTTTATCTTCATCAGGTACACGGTGCTAAAAATTAAAGTTATTTTTGTATAATGTATTAGGTTTTCGCCCGCTACTTCGTACGCGCGAATTTTAGGAGTAAGTAAAACAATGGAATAGGCTACTTCTATATGACGTATCAAAATTATAAATACACTAACCTTTAAGTTAGGCCTTGACAAACAAACATACAGACATACGGACAGACAGACAATTTTTCTAAAAATTATTATTTTGACATCTGCTCTATTAAAAGCGTATTCATCAATTTTATTTAATTATCTTCAATGTACAGACATCATCCAGTTACAATTTTATTATATTAATAAAGTCAGAAGTATGATTTAAATATAAAATATACTTTTTGGTGTTACAAAAGTATATTAGTAACTCGTTCAATTAATATATTACGTGCAGAGGCACATCCCACTTGTATTTCTGGTACCAATCAATCATTCTTGCATAGCTTGTTTGGTTTAAAATGTGAGGTTATAGGAAAGAGAATTTGTAGGGATGGAAGGCATAAAGACTTTAATGATTCGGAATCATGAGAAGTACCACGGGCGTCACAGTGTATTCCTATGATATCCATATATATAGGGGTCGATTACCCTTATCCATTAATCAACTTGTTTACTATTACAAGTCGCATAAAAAAGATATAAAATACTGTCAATTACTTGAAATAAACACTACTAGGTACGTACTTCTGTTTGTTGGTAATTTGTAGTGTGAGTGTCTTCATTAACAGAGGTAGATATCTTCGGTCCAGTGTCGCTAAGAATGCGACCGTCCTCCAACAGAAGCTCGCGTTTAACTCTCGTCGCGATTTGTCGCGTTGTCGTCACTTCACTCTTCTTGCGGGTCACCCATTCCTCTGTTAAACAAATTTACATGATATAAGTATTTTAAAGATATTAATAAATACATAGTTTATACGCCATTTCATTGCCTAGTGACATGTAATAAATAAATAAATAAATTACTCTGACTTATAAATCCCGAAGGTGCGTTCAATTCTAACGACATGAAAACTGTATATTAATTTAAATACCCGATTAATGAGTAATTGAAAACACTGGTAACAACCTCAATAAATCCAGTGATAGTGGGATGCTCAACGAAATATAGTTTCTCGAGCATTATGTTTCACCATAACAGCAACAGTTGACAGCTGGGCCCGCATAAATTAGTACATAATATATTATATATGTTTAATTAGGATATAACCTACCTGTGTACCAAATTTCATTCAAATCCGTTCAGTAATTTTAGCGTGAAAAACTAACAAACATCCATCCATTCACCATCTTTACAAACTTATTTATTTACGTACTGATATAGTTCGTAACTGCTACTATTATACACTTAAATATCTAATATTTTATAAGTTACATATTTTACGGATACCTTCTTTGGTTGTGGCTATTGTGTCTCCCGGCTCGGCCTATAAACAAAAAAAAATAATTATTTTAAACAAAATTAATTTCTCCAGAAATATGAAACACATTTTTATAGCGCCATCTCTTACCAAGTAGCTATAACTATTTAAAGCCAGTTTATCGTGTTCGGAGGTCTCTGACATGTAATGTAATAATACTCGCGGCCGCCGCTTGATGGCGCCATGGTCACTCAACGTAAATACTGTCACCATGTGAGTTCATAAAATAATAACTAATAAAAACTATTAAACATTTACACTAACTACTAGTTCCATAGATTCTTTATCTCTGTACAATCCAAATGCATAGTATTTACACATTATTAACACTTAAAATATCTACACATTAAATGAAACATTTTTCACTGAAACATTAGCGTATGTACACTTAAGTATCTAATTATAAGGATTTATAATTAAAAAAAAATATTTGAACATAAAATGGTGCGTACTAAGTGGCAGTTAGTAATTGACTGAAGGAAAATCAAGGCTTAGCTGTAATATAACTAATGAACGCCAGATTATCATTTTCTTTTGGCACACAGTACTGTAGCAGCGCGTTGAGTATTCCGGCGGTACGCTGCATTTCCGTTGGGACCGCAAAATATTCTAAAGGACGCTTACATTATAGTTATTAGAAAAAATTGTTTATCTCATAATCGTAGGTATATTAAGAAACTTTTTATTATTGGCTTGTATTAGAAACACAGACATTCGCGCCTAAACTTAACCCTTGTCCTAAAAATCAATCAAAATAATTTGAAGGAGACGAAATACCTATCTAAAAACAAAAATATTTTTCAAAATTTTGCAGCACCTTTAAGCAATAACTTTAAAATTTTTACATATATATATATATATATATATATATATATATATATATATATATATATATATATATTTAGGAAACGTATGTTCTTTTTGTTTGTTGAATTGTAAACACTATAATCAGTTATAATAATTTAATTTATATAATTCAATTTTGATGATACATTAAAATAACGATACGTAATACGTACACGTGTTCATCTATAGAGTCATGAGGATAAATAATGATGATGACATTATCTGCCTTAAAAAACATAAGCTAATGCCATTATTAAGCTCTCACGCACGTGGTTTTCAATTTAAAAAATGTAATTCTGCCTTATATGTAGTTTAATATAACTATTGATTGCTGTTAATTTCCATATGATGATATAGTAAGGATACAATGTATCAACATTCCGTTCTTCTCCAGAATGTTGTAAGAGACGAATAAGGAAACAAAACATACTATACCCGAAGCAGAACAAAGAAAATTTAAAAAGCTATATTCGAAGCTACTAGGACAGAGTAGTAATTGTGGGGAAATTATTCCCTCTTTATATATTTATAAATATATAAAGAGAGAATAATTGGTCTTTACCCAGCCAGCCAGCCAGGTCATACCCAGCAGTGGAAGTCTTCATCCGCGCGTTCGGATGGTTTACTTGCAGGATTGGATATAATTACTGACCGTGATAAAAAGTAACCTATGACCTTCTCGTCCCATATACCACCTGTATACCAAAATTCATAGTAATTAGTTAAACTGTTAATATGCTAAGATATAACAAACGAACAAAAAAACAAACAAACTTATTTTCACATTCATAATATTAGTAACCATTTTACTCCATTTAAGCCTCCGATTTTCTTATTTTTATTCCTGTATTTAATATTGTCTATAGTATAGCCGATTCGCTAATTACCTATTGTGTATACACCAAAATGACCCTTTCGATCTATAGAGTAATATAGCTTCCACATAATTTTTAATATAAGAGCTATAACATCAAAATCCTTGTAACAAACAAGGCCGCTATATGTATATTACTATTTATATAAAGTGACGTGCATGACTAAATCAACGGTTACGACCTTTCATCAACTGATACGGGAAACATTTCCGGAATCCTACCTACGCAACAGTAACAAGTTTTAAAAATAAAAAAAAAAAAACACAGAGAGACAAAGACTTATCTGAGCTTACTAATTGAAAATATTAAAAATAAAAAGATTCTACGGAGCATGATTAAGGCTCTCAATATCTTGTCCCATGGAAATGTAACCTTTTAACGTTTACGGGGAGAATCCCATAAAATTATAGCATATGTAATATGTCATTAAATTACTATATATGACCCTTCACTATAAATGAAGAATCATTAATTGTGACTTCATTAACTCTGTATTTAATACGAAGCCAAAGACGATGCAGCTCTTTACAGGTTATACGAATGCGATAATTTTATCGAAAAATATGAATATATCGTACATATACGTACGTATGTTTCCCTTTCAAAGTAAAATAAAAAAAAAAAAAATGACGCCGTTAATTTCTGACTGATTCCCGATACAAATAAATATGTAGTAGAATAATACTTATTTAATAACTCCTTAATTTCTATACATTGTTACGTCCATAAAATATATAATAACGAAAGTTATTACGAGTTATGCAAAGTCTCCGGTGTAATAGAGAAAATGACACAAGAGACTGTTCATCCATAAATTATTCTATATCCTATAACATTAGTGAGCGTGCGTTTGCATCGTTAAATTAATTAATGTTGTAGCTATGGTTAGAATGCTGTATCTTCAACCGTCTTAGCCCTTGATTTATTAGGCTTATCTTTTTTTAATTAAATGTAACTAACATCTTTATAGTCCAATGTGGTAAACAAACCAGAACTGAACTATTAGGAACATCAGATACCTTCCCGATCCTGAATTCTCTCCATATTGGTTCTTCTTTTTTTTTACATGATAAAAGTAATATTAAAGTTTTTTAACAATATATAGACTGAAATTTTATACACTAATAAACAATTTCTTAATACTATTCATACGAACAAAGCTACAGTATACAGCTGCATTAAAAATGTAAAATTTTGTGACAAATATTTGGATATTCGTTTTGTGTACACATAAATAATTTAGTGAAATTTAGAACACAGATATATCATGTTCTAAATTAACATGTAGCCAGAGAGTGAAATACAACTATTATTAAATATTTGTTACCCCTGGGGCAATGTTGACAAATTGTCTACAAATTTATTAACATTTATTACAGTGTGACATGTTGACATTATCAGATCTTTATTACCGCTCTAACAAATCAACTAGTAAAACATTTTCTAATAAATCAACTAGTAAAACATTTGATTGGTGATTTAATGAAGCGCTCAAAACGAGAGCTAAAAATAGAGACTTATTTAATACATTTGATTCTTTTAACGTCATAAGCTACAGTAACCACTTACCATCAAGTGGGCTATATGCTTGTTTGCCACCTCAGTGCTATAAAAAAAAATTCCTATTAAACAATTTATAATCTATTAATAGGTTATATTTTTTTTTTAACTAAAAGAAATAAAATAAAACTGAAAAAGAATCACATATAATTAGCAACAAGAATATCGCATAATATATATTCCATGACGCTTATGGTGCCTCTTTCCTCTGGTTATTCCTGAAGACAAAGATGTACTACCTCTACAACCTATAATTTTACTATTATATTCCACAATTCAAACCGAAAAACAGCCATTAGATACAGAAGTCTTAATTATTACTAAGCATGATGTTTTATTACTCATAGCTTTCCTTGGACTCATTCAAAAATAAATAAGATATACCACGTAGGTAGCAGATACGAGTATTGCAAATTAAAAGGACAAGATTTACGAGTGATGCATTTTTATACGTATCGTTTCATCTTTCGTGAACGTGACTGTTTTACCCGAATATGTTTACAAGGTCACTCACAGTGACCATAACAGGTATATAATATGTTGCTGGTAACAAAAGAGTAGCACTCGTAGATAGGTTCAGTATCCGAGGTCAAACAAAGCACGGAATATGTTGTAGATGGGTATACGTTGGTAACCATAAACAAAATTAAGTATCTATGTATTTTAAAGATATATTCCGTTACACAGTTAATGTCATCTCGTCAGCTGAACATCTATAAAGGAACGTTTTAACTGATAAAAGTAATGTTCAAAGTATTTTATCGCTTTCAATCAATGTTTCTTTGGAAAAATTTTACTATATAAATAATCATTGTTCATTATATAGATTGATCTGTACAATCTATTTACTATACCTATGTATATATCTATGATGTATATCAATCAGCCATTAATTTTCTACTGCTGAACATAGGCCTCTCCCATAATTGGGAGATTCTGCCAGTAGATGCCATGCCATAAAAATTGAATTAAGCAATTGTGAAAACAAATTCATATTTATCATCATCATCATCATCCACTGTTGAACAAAAGCCTTTCCAATAAAGCGAGGTTAGTCAGTAGTTACCACGCTTGGCAGGCTACTTGGCAACAGCAGTTAGCCGTTGGCGATGTTTTATGAGGGACTTTCCTGCCCATCTCTCGACTATAAGTTTCTTTAGTTGCCTTTTACGACACCCACGGAAAAGGAAGGGGTGGCCTATTCTATGCCGGGACCTACACGGCGACAACTTGTTTAATAAACAACAATTCTAGAAGGTATTGAAATAAATCAGATACGACTTGAAAGTTCTTACACTAAATCTTATATTTATTTAATAAACGATGAAATGCATATAAGTTCACTACTCATGGGAAATAAATATTTAATTTTATTATGGTATTATCACCGCAAGCTATTACATAGGGCTGATCTTTTGTATGTTACCGAACCTTCCAATCAAGAGTAACAATTCTTAGATACATTAAGATACAGGTTGAAAATGACTTTTTAAAGAGTATCTGATCCAATATTTAAAATCATCATTATCAATATAAAATAATAAAGATAGAAACCGTCTTCTGATTGTGTTTTCCATCTACCCAAATGTGATGTTCTCTAAGACTATGCGTAATTCAGTCATCTTACTTGACACAGTTCTAAAATATAGTCTGTTTTCTTCTTTCACATAGTCCGTCAATCTGTCCCGGTGTCCTATATATAACTTACTATTCTTTTTGTAACATCTACATCGTCTCATGACATCAATTTCCATTCTCATATTTTATCTTAAATCTGGTACTATTTGCAGGCACTTATACTTTTTAAATATGTATTTTTTTATTATTATTTTGTGTAATGTAGTGCATGTAAATGCAATAAAAATGTAAATAATTAAGACAATTACTATATAAAGGTATAATCGCATGTTGCATTTGTCAGCAACGAAGGCCGCGCCCTTGAGGTGCATCGCGAATGCAGCGCATAGCATCCGCGAGGCCGGTCTATTGTTGTTACACCCGATTCAGTAGTTGCATCTTATTGTACTTTAAATAGGTCACGGTTTAGGCAACCAATTTATTAAATAATGCACTGCATAAATGCA